TGCTCACGCCATACCTGCTCGACACCGTGTGCTACTTACGGGCACTCCTGTACAGAATAACCTACGAGAGATGTGGGCACTGTTTGACTTCGCTTGCCAGGGGTCGCTGCTGGGAACCTCTAAAACATTCAAAACCGAGTATGAGAATCCAATCACACGTGCAAGGGAGAAAGACGCCACGCCTGGGGAGAAAGCTCTGGGGTTGAGGATTTCTCAGAACTTGATGGACATCATCAAACCTTACTTTTACAGGCGGACCAAGGCAGATGTTCAACACAAAAAGCAAAAACGTAAAGAAGGCTATCCAGACGAGGAAGATCAAGAGAACAAATGTCCAAACGCCACCGAAGGTGTAGAGATGCCATCGCTGACACGAAAAAACGACCTCATTGTGTGGACGTACCTCAGTTCAGTCCAGGAGGACATATATAACCAGTTCATCTCGCTGGACCATATTAAGGAATTGATGATGGCTACCAGGTCGCCGCTGGCAGAGCTCACAGTTTTGAAGAAGCTCTGTGACCATCCCAGACTCCTCTCGAATCGAGCTGTGGCTCAACTAGGCCTGGAGCAAGGTTCCTCCTTTGACTCCACCCATCCAGACATTGAGAGCGAGTCAGCTGTGAGTCAGATCGACCAGATTTCAGATGAAACTTTGGTTAGAGAGTCAGGAAAGCTGCAGTTTCTTGTGTCTCTAATGGAATGTCTCCGTGAAGAGGGGCATCGGACCCTAATCTTCTCACAGTCAAGGAAGATGTTAGACATCATGGAGCGTGTCCTGCGTAACAAAAACTTTCGCCTGCTGCGCTTGGATGGCACAGTGACACATCTGGCAGAAAGGGAGAAGCGCATCACGCTGTTCCAGACAGACAAACGCTACACAATCTTCCTCCTCACCACTCAGGTGGGTGGAGTGGGGATCACGTTAACAGGAGCAAACCGTGTTGTGATCTTTGACCCCAGCTGGAACCCTGCGACAGACGCTCAAGCTGTTGATCGCGCCTATCGAATTGGCCAAACTGAAAATGTCATCATCTACCGACTCATCACCTGTGGCACTGTGGAGGAGAAGATCTACCGCAGACAGGTAAATAAAAAGTCTTAACTTTAGGACCTTCACTTCACTGTGTTGTTTTCAGGGTTAAAAAAGATCCAGGGCTACATGATTTGGCCAAGAAATGCTTTTGCAGTTATTTCATCATTGAAATGCAATATTATAAACACAATTTTTCATATTGCTGCTGCTTGGATATTTAGGCAAAAAGAAGTAGAACAGTTTGAATCATACTAAAACAGATGCACAAAAACTACAAACTAACAAGCATTGCCTAATGCTTTCAAATACATGTTTTGCCAATATTCACTTTTTAAATTGTTAGGTTGGTAGAAAAACTTATTTAAAAGGAAATATGGTCCGAGTTAAAAAAAAGTACTCTCTGCATTTGTATTGTACCGTCTTTTTAGTCCACTTCAATTGTATTAGCTTTTAACATTCACTTGACTTAAATTCATGTTTTTTTATTTATTTATTTAATACAATCACTTTAAATTATATTAAGTAACATTTGTATGTTAATTATAAAAATTAAGGCAAAAATATATCAACATTGTAAAATTTGTTATTTTACAATTGAACTTTAAAATGAAAAAAGTGAGATCATATTAAATAACCCAATTTCAGAATCTTCACTCTTGACTATTTGTATTTCTTAAGTCATATCCTGTTGTGGTTTTATTGTGGTTAATCATTGTACCAAGCCATATCACAATACTTTTGTTGTTGTTGTTGTTGTTGTTAAAGTGTTGATGCAGCTTCCAGGCATAATTTTTCGTTAAAGGGATATTCCACTTTGTTTGGAAATAGGCTCTTTTTACCACTCCCCCAGTTAAGCAGTTGGGTTTTACCGTTTTCGAATGTATCCTGCCATTTTTTTTTTGTATTTAGAAGAATATCAGTAACCAGACAGTTTCTGGTCTCAGTGACTTCCATAGTATATTTTTTCCTACTATGGAAGTCAATGAGACCAGAAACTGTCTGGTTACTGATATTCTTCTAAATATCTGAAAATTGGCTGGATTTGAAAACGGTAAAACTCAACTGTTTAACTCTGGGAGAGTGGTAAAATGAGCCTATTTCCAAAAAAAAGTGGAGTATCCCATTAAGTACAACAATTCAGTTTTTGGCAAGCAATTGATTTTATGTCATGTAGTAATGAGAAATAAAAGCTAGTTTTCTGCTATTCTGATGTCAATAAAACAGTACCTGTAACACGTTTCTATATCTGCAGGTGTTTAAAGACTCTCTCATCCGGCAGACAACCGGAGATAAGAAGAACCCGTTCCGATACTTCAGCAAGCAGGAGCTTCGTGAACTGTTTAATCTCGAAGACACACATTCTTCCTCCACTCAGCAGCAGCTTCAGGCAATGCACGCGCAAAACCGCCGATCTGACACCAACCTGGACCAGCACATCGCTCGCCTTCACAGCATGGAGATGTTCGGCATCTCCGACCATGACCTCATGTTCTCTAAAGAGGCGGCAGCTGATGAAGATAATCCTGAGGATGCAGAGTCCCATCACTACATACAAACACGTGTCCAGAAAGCACAAGAGCTCATGCAGGCAGAATCAGAACTTCACGGCCAGCTCATGGACAGCGTGGCCCAGAACACCGAACCGGCTTGGCTCAGGCAAACAGGGCAACCGAAGTCTGCTGGTAGAGACCAACCAGCTCCTCCTCGTATCAAAAAGGAGCCAGTGATGGTGGATCTGACTCATTACAGTTTCGATGAGGCAGAACTGGAGGTAGATGAGCAGAACTCTCCGCCAGTTGAGGAGGCGGTGGAAGTTGTGGCTGAAGAAGTAGAATTTGTTGGTGAAGAAGTTGAATTTGTAGGGGAAGAAGTGCAAGTGGAAAAGGAGTCTCCTCGATCTGGTGGAGAAAGAAATGTTCATGGTCTAAAGACTGAGGTTTGCCCTGATGCCGACAAGATAGCTCACCATGTGGTCACGTTGGATGACAGTTCAGATGAGGCTGACGAGTTGTACGGTAATCCAGCATCTGAGCATCAATACTCACAGCACAGCTTCTCAAGATCTTCTCACCAGTTTTCAAAGTTGGAAGAACTTTCTGTAGCAACTGATGCTCTTGATAATAGAGAGGATCAGGCAGACAAGCCACATTCAACGGTTCTCTCTTCACCCCCTTCCCGACATGAGGCCACAGCGGCAGAGTCTTTTAAAGGAGAGGTGGAAATGCTTCAGGGAAACTTCAACCTCCAGCTAGAGGACAGTGCAGAAATGTTCACCGTTGAAGAAGAAGTTTATGAAGTGGAGTCGTCGGTGGTAGAGGAAAGTCCTGAGTTTCAACTTCAGATGGACATCAGTGGAGAAAAACTGGAAGAACCAAATATCTATGACAGCAGACATGATGGTAAACCAAACAAAAGTGAAATCAGTACCTATAACAATGCTGAGGTCAGTAACTGTAACGGTGAAGTCAGCAAACATGAATCTCTTGTGAGGATCCGTTCTGCTCCGGACACGCCTGCGGACGACTCCCCTTTGCATTCTGTTCGTAGAAAGAAAAGGCAGGTCATCTCTGACACTGAAGAAGAAGAAGAAGAGGAGGATGAATCGGAGAAGCCATGTTTAACTAGCAGTCCATTAGCAGATGGCCTTAGCAGGTTGGGCTCTTCCACACCAAAATCTTTCACTTTGACTGACAAAGCTCGACTCCGCCGCAGCTTGAACACTTCTGTGGCGTCGAGAAGGTCCTTCGTTGTGTCCATGCTGGAGAATGAATCTGATGAAGAGTCAGCAGAGCTCAGTGAAGATAAATCCAAATCCAATGAGACATCTGAAACAAATGAAAGTCATGCAGATGAATCAGTGGAGGAAGAGGAGGAGGACCCCAGTAAAGGTGAAACTGAGTCCTATGAGATATCTGAAGCAAATGAAAGTCATGCAAATGAATTAGTGGAGGAAGAGGAGGAGGACCCCAGTAAAGATGAAACTGAATCCTATCAGATATCTGAAGCCAGTGAAACACATGCAGATGAGTCTGTGGTTGAAGAAGAGGAACCCAGTGGAGAGACTTTAAACACAGAAGAGTCTAAAAGTGACGAGGAATTTGAGGAGGCGGAAGAGAGTGTGGAGTCTAGAGGAGACAAGGAATGGCACAGCGCCCTGCTTGAATCCACTGCCGATATTGAGCTAGACTCTGGTGAAATGATGGACCAGTGTGCCCCAAAACATTCCCTATGGAAACGCACATTCGTCCTGTTAGCTCTACAAGCAGTGACGCGACTGCTGCTAAAGCCTCTGAGAACACGTATGAGTCGCTGGTACTGTCTGGGAAACAGAGTTTGGCAGAGGGGAGAAAGCAGGAGGCTCTGGATTTCTTTCTGAAGGCAATAGACATTAACACTGGTGACGCTGAAATCCAGCTCTTGATCATTCAGTTGTACAGGCAACTTAGCCAATAGGGAAATTAAAATGTACACAGCCATATAAGACTATCACATCGTTTTTGACAAACGTGGCTTTTTTTTCTCTACCTGTTGTTAAAAATAAATTGAAGACTGAATGTGACTGAAACATACTGCATACTGAACTGACATGGGGAACTTGTTAAGAAAAATGTTTTGCATGCTAATCGTGTTCATGGACTTTTGTTGTTTTTTTGGTTTTTTTTGTTTACTTGAATTTGTATATTTCATTTTTTTCGTTCAAAAAACTGTTAAATTTATCGTATTCTGAAATTTACATTGTGGAAGAAAAAAATAAATTCTCAAAGGTTTCATAGCTTGTTTCCTGCATGATTTTGTTGAATTCTGGGTATAAATCTACATTTATATATATATATATATATATATATATATATATATATATGGTTAAATGCAGTTTAATTGACAGCTTTTGTGATTTGCTGTCTATCAAAATATATTTACTATTTCCTAGAACAAAAAAAAAAAAAACATCTTAGGAGACGCATGATCTGGTAAAGACAGTTTATTGGTTTCTAGGCATATAAGTATGGCTCGATGCTCATGCCACCATGCACATCATCTACAGTAATCACAATTTGAAGTCACTGCTGTACTGTATTTAGAGATTGAAGAGACACTTGGAGAAGTTTAGAAGTTCCCTGCAGGCTAATCAAACAGTTTTTCAAGTAAGCTTTTTTGTGAATCCACACTATATAGAACAATTAAACAACAAAGTTGTTAACTCTCATACCCACCTACTCCAGACATGTATACCTGAAATACCCATAGTCTATTGAAGTGTTTAGGCAAGTAAAAGCACATCAATGTTTGTTTTTTTGGTTTGGACCACAACACTGTTTGTTCGATGTCAAGGAATAAAGTCAGGACTCCAATATAACGGGTTAACATTTGTCAAAAGAACTGAAACTACATTGTTAAGCACAGTGATGACACCGGAGGAAGAATATGACACTAATATTGAGTTCCTTGGTAAACTAGGGCTTTAAAATGGGCTTACAGCCTTTACTTTGTATATACATGCTGTATTTGTCGATGGTCATATTTGTCTATTGTACTAATGTCCTGTGTTACAAGCATTCAATAGCAAACGGGTTCAATACAATGCAGGTTATGCGATGCAATGCAGGAGATGTTAGTTGAGCTTAAAATACACAGCAATTACTCAACAAAACATGTCATAATAATACTGTTACCAATGAGAAAGAGTCGACTGATAAAGAAACATTTCTATCATGTATTTCTAACTACAAAGAGTTATTACACACTATTTATTACTTCATGTCTCTATGAGTGTTCTGTCTCTATCCAGTGATGACAATGTTCTTGGGAAATGTTGAACTCTGGCCTGAGAGACCAAGATACCTTCAAAGTATTGTCCAAACCCTCTTACCAGCAATTGTGGCCATCCAAATCTGTATATAAACATACACACAACACGCATATCTAGTGAACACTTCACGCTTGAGTTAAATTCTGTCCGTAATATTGAACCAGGGTTTCAATACACTTGGTTTTTGTGCTGTAAAGATTAAAGGCAGAAGGAAATCATTTTAAAGAGGACAAAATTGAAACTAGACGAATATCACACTCATGCCCAGCAGTTTCTCCCTTCTTTGCATCTTCATTTTTTATTTTCCTTTTCTGTTGAAAGTGATGAGCAATTATCCCTTTGCAGTAAGATGCACCAATGTAGTCTGGCCCGTTGCCTGATAAATGAGCAGAAATATATATCATGTTTATAAGGGTGTATAATACTGGAACTAGACAATCTCTTAAATAGTGAGAGAATTATTTATGTTTGGGGTCAGCAAGATTTTTTTTATTTTTAAAGAAATAAACAAAATACTTGTATAATGTCAAATAAATGCTGTTCTATTTAACTTTCTATTCATCAAAAAAATCCCAAAACAAATTCATCACAATTTCCACAAAAATATTAACCAGCACAACTGTTCTGAAGGATCATGTGACACTAAAAAGTAATGATGCTGTCTATCACAGGAATAAATTACATTTTACAATATTTTCAATTAGAAAATGGTTAATTTCAATTATAATAATATTTCACAATATTAGTGTTTTTATTGTATTTTTTATATAAAAATATGTAGGCTAGGTAAGACCCTTGTTAAAAAAAATTTACATTAAAACAAACATAACAACCCCAAACATTTGAATGGCACTGAATATCTGTTCTTGTATGCATTCAGTCTATGTGTATGCATGAGTACACAAATTATTTGAACCGATTTTGTACCTTATTGTGCATGGTGTTTGTCAGAGGCTGAAGGGTTGTTAGGGATGAGTTTAGAGTCAGATCCAGGGCTACAGACCCCTTCTATAAGATTTTTGTTGAAGTCACCCAGGCTGGCAGCAGGAGACAGTCTGGGATAAGCTAATTGCCCCGTCAGATCCAACAGGTCCTCTAGAGCACGCATGTTACTCATTCCATTCTGCTGGGGAGAGTTCAGTGGGGAAAATTCTGGGATAGAGATTAACTCCTCCTTCGAGACGGGGCTGAGAACACACAAAATAAACATAAAATGTAAAAAAAAAAAAACATTAGATGCCAATGTTCCCAGTAATGCTTCATACTCCCAAATGTCTTAGTCACAATAATGTCAGCTATATGTAAAAAAGCAGAAACAAATAAATGGATACCAAAGATATCAACTATAAAAAAAGGGTTCACATATCACAAATGATATTTTCACATTGGAAGACTATAAGTAAAAAAAAGACTATATGTATTTAACATAAATAAAGTATTGTGTAATATTCATCTCCTTCATTATTATGCTTGTATTCACGTGTTTGCTGTTTTGTTTTTTAGGCTGCTTCAGATTCAGTATTATTATTGTGTGTCACACACAAAAAAACACAAAGTGGACATACATTATTCTATTCTTTCTCATTTTTTTTAACCTTTTGTTTTTCTGTGATGCAGTTCCTACCTGGTCAGTGTATAGGGCAGTCCAGTGTACAGGGTTTGTTGACACAGTAATTGTGTCAAACTCACCTAACCTCCATGTACTGCACTTCATCTGCAGAGTCCTCTGCCGCTCCACTCTTCCCTTCCAAAGTGTCCAGATAAATAAGAGGCAGAGGCGGTTTTGACTCTGGCAATGGGGTCAAGGAAGAGGGCGGGTGGTCTTTCCCTCCATCCTTTGATTTCACCTGTGTTATCATATGTCCACCAGTCTGAGTGAGAGTCTTTGCTTGTGGGACAGTTACCGTTGAGGTCCCCTGTCCATTGGCTTTCTTCACAGTGATATCATTCTTGGGTCCCTGAGCGGTGGCTTGTCCATTCATTTGCACAGTTACAGGTGTTTTCACTTGGTTACTGGCCTCTTGTTTGGCCAACTGAGTAATAGTTTGGCTTTTTCCATTGGTCAGGCTGCTTTCCTGTAAGCTGCGAGTGGGCGTATTTCCAGGTACATTCACTTGGGTGGAAACTTTGGGTTTGCTGTGTGTAGTCAACACACTCGTAATATTTGCTACTGTGTTTTCAGGCGAGCTCTTCAGCGGGGTTACCTTCACTTTTGCTGTGGATGCGTCTTCTTGCTTTACCTCTTCTTTCACTTGTAAACTTTGGGTCTTCACTGGTTCACTCTTTTGTCTAATAGTCTTGACATTTTCTTCACTTACCCTTACCTTCTCTTCCGTTTTTACTGCAGTATGGTTGATTTTTACTTGGCCGTTCAAGGAGGGATTTGAGCATGAATTCATCTGTTTATTCGTACAGCCATTCTCTGGTCTTTTCCCTTCACTCTCCTGTTTGTAAGTCTGTCCATGCACAGAGGTTGTCTGCATGATGTTATCCTGAGATTTGACCTCAGCACCTGAGGTCAAATGGTTACCACCTGAGAAGAAAAGAGGTGTTGGAAATTATTATAATGAATCATATTTTTAGCCTGATATTAATATTAGCAATAGACAGGAAAGCACTCTCATGTTAGTAAACCAGCAAGATACGAATATAATTGTTACATGAGCATGTACATTTGATTGATTTGTTTTGTGTAATGATTTGTCAGTCCTTTAGGGGGCGTTTAAGTGTTCCTTTAAGTGTTCTTGTGTGTTTGTGCTTGTATTATTAGGAACTGATTTCCTGCACCTGTGTGCGAGTGAATGAGCGATATAAGAAGCCTCGTTGCCATGTTTGGGCGGCGGTTCTGTTGCACTCTCTTTTGTTATTTTTTTGTTTTTTTCCTTCCACAATTATGTTGGGGGCAGCAGTGGCTCAGTGGTTCATGTGGGCTGTCTACAAACCGAAAGGTTGGTGGTTCAATCCTCGGTTTCACCTAACCAAGTGTCGAGGTGTCCATGAGCAAGACACCTAACCCCAGCTGCTCCCAACGAGCTCGCTGGCGCCTTGCATGGCTGACACCGCCGTCGGTGTATAAATGAGTGTATACATGGATGAATGTGAGGCAAATGTGAAGCGCTTTTGTGGCCATTAGGTCTATGAAGGCACTATGTAAATGCAGTCCATTTACCATGTTTATTTTCTACTTGATACTAAATTTCCCTATTAAACGAGCTTTGTTATGATGTCACTCTTTCGTGTAATGGCTGTGGCCGTAAGAGTCATAGACAGACTTTTAAAGGAAGGAGGGGGAAAACATACGTAAAATACACATATTTGATAGCACTTTCAATGTTTTCGAAAGAGTCTTTGATCGAAAATATAGAGAAAACAGAAATATAAAATAATATTACACTTTTATACACGTGTTTTCCATTTTAATATATGTTAGGAGTTTATTTATTCCTGCAATGGCAAAGCTGAATTTTCAGCATTATTACACCAGTCTTCAGTGTCACATGATCCTTCAGAATCTAGTAAACAGAACTCTTAATTTAGAACATCATGACTGTTTACTTAGTTTTTAAAACAACAACAACCTATTTTTATTATATTATTAATCTTTAAATTATTTTGGCCAAAGTTTTATATTCATATGACACAAATAACTAAAAAGAAACCCTCATATATTACCTTTTATATACTAATTTCACAATATACTTTGAAACCACAAATCTCTTTGACATCACAAAACAAAGAACAATAAAAAATGTATTATCTTGTATTTTAGTTGTTGTTATTCTCTGTTTTCAGTGGTGGAGGAAGTACTGAATCTCAGTACTTAAGTAAAAGTACAAATAACCAGATACATTTTTACTTTAGTAAAAGTAGAAGTAACACAATGACAACCGTACTTAAGTAAAAAGTAAAAAGTACCTGTTTTTAAATGTACTTTAAGTATTAAAAGTAAAAGTACTTACATAACAATTAATTCTCTTAAGGACTATTTTCTAGTGATTAATAAAACATTTAATTCTAACTCGTTCCACCCAATACTCCTATAATGATGTTCAATAATGATGGGAAAAGCTGAAACAAGCTTGCAATTAGGCAATATAAACCATGCTTATACTTATGTTAATTACTATGTTTGGCAGTAAACACAATTAATTAATGGTGTAATTCTGAACCTCTTGGCTTGCCATAATCCTAACCAAACGTATATTACACAGGGTGTGTTTCCTATGCACGTAAAAACACATTTTTGCGTATAAATTGCACGATAAACACACTGCGTGCGAGACGCATTTAGTTGATGTATCTATGGCAACCAAACGTCACTGGTGAGACAAACGTGCAACGAACGGACGGTCAGATTACGTTTTGGCAGGGGAAAAACTGATCAGAAAATGTAATGAAAATGTAACAGAAGTTGTAGAAATGTAGTGGAGTAGAAAGTAGAATAATTGCTGCAAAATGTAACGAAGTAAAAGTAAAAAGTATGCACTATTTATTCTACTTAAGTAAAGTAAAGATACGTGAAAAATATACTTAAGTAAAGTAACGAAGTATTTGTACTTCGTTACATTCCACCACTGTCTGTTTTACATATGAACTGTACCACAATGCCATATATTTGTCTTATACATTTTGAATTGTACTTATCTGTAATTGAACTAAATAGAAAAAAGTAATCATTCTAATTTGCTAATATGCTGCTCAAGAAATATTTTTACTATTATTATCACAGCTGAAAACAGTAGAGCTGCTTAATATTTTGTGGAAACTGATACACTTTTCTGGATGCTTTAAGTAATAAAAAGTTCAAATGAGCAGTATTTATTTGTTATGAAAATTTTTTAAAACAATTAAACAAAATATGTACTGACACTTGATTAATTTAATGGGGGGGGGGGGGGGGGGGATATTTGAACCTTTAACCAAAGTCACGGAAGCACACAGATGCCAGCAATGTAAAACAGAGCAGACTAAATTTAGTCTGTGCAGTCTTTGAATAGATCACCTTGAACACAACCTATGACAGAGAATATGATCCCCTGCTGCCCTCTCCTGACATTGCTGTAGATACTGCAGTGATGGAAAAATACCAGCAGGCCTGCCTGACACAGTATATACACTAGAACAGTCTGCATTCACAAAACAAGGAAACCACATGTGTGGCATGGGTAACACATTTCCATGGATAGCCTAATAGAAACAACACCCACTTTTTATCATAATTTAAAATGTGGTTATAACATAGGTTTTAATAATGTTGGTGTGTGAGAGTGAGTGTGAGAGAGAGCAGGGTTGAGTCCTACCTGGTGGAGAAACAGGGAGGTAGACAGGAGAAAGGGGCTCTGGGCTATCCTCTCTCTGTGTGAATATTAGGTCATTCTGTTACTTTAACTTTCAGAGCAATCATTTCCGCTCTACTTTCTCTACTTGAAAAATGGCTATTCATATCACATCCATATGGATGGTAACCCATGTAGGTAGCTGTACAATGCTTTACCTAATTGATTACAAGTCACACGTTCACACATATACTGTATTCAGCTTATGTCACGCTAAACAGTTGTAGATATAAGATTGATTGTCACAGATACCTTCATCTCGCCGTCACTCTTTCTGGTTCTCTTCATTATTTCCTCTATTCTCTGCAAAGAATTTAAGCAGATATCAAGAACATTTAAGCACTTTCTAATGTTGACTCCTATTGCAAAATATAAGAAATAAGAGTGAATGGAGTAAATGTTGTACTTGGCGAAATCATGTTCACCGACTAGAATGAAACGGTCAGTGAGGTTTGGTGTTTACAGTATATTTCTATGTGGTGTAATCTTTCCATCTACCGCATACACGGCTTCTGCTCTTTAACTGGGTTGTGTAGTACACAGCTCTTTCCAAAACTGCTTACGGTGGCTTGCTGATGGTTGTACTACCTTTTTTCGCTGTTGTCTCTCCTGTTCCTCCTGCTGTTTGAAATGTTCTCTCTCCTGTCGCTGGCGCTCAGTGTCCTTCTGAACACGCATCTCTGCCTCCTCTTTCTATTGAACAAAGACACAAATGAAAAGATTATGAATGGGTGGGTGGATGGATTTCTTTTTTTTAAATGCAATTGCAAACATGATTTTACATTCTTCAGAAGTTTGGAATCGAACAACAAGCAAATGCTTTTTTTGTCCAGTGACTGAAAAGAGTAATTTCACTCTAAATCGTCTGACCTCTTTCTCCATCTGGGCCTGGAGCTCCTTCTCTTTCTGTTTTTTCTCCTCCTGCTCTCTCATCTTCTGTTGCTGCTCTTGTCTACATTTCTCCTCCTCTGCTTGACGAGTTTTCTCTTCCTGTCGAGCTCTTTCCTCCAGCTGCCTCTTCTTGAGTTGCTGACTCTTTAGCCTGAAAATCAAACACAGACCAACACAGTCTCGTGAGTCTCGTTCAAGCGACATTCAAACATCACACTGGCAAAGTATTTAACTCATTTTTTCTTCTAATTTTAATTCCCGCTTTTTATAAGATATCTTTCAATTTCTTATAATTGTTTAGCACGTTGGTACTTTGTGATTTTTAAAGTACTTTATAAATAAATTTGAATTGAATTGAAAAAACATACAACCCCCCCCACAAATTTGTAGTGCATTTGATAACATTGTTTTGCAACGCATACTCAGGGCTCAAAGCACATGGTCTAAAGCGCACGGTGAATGTGCACTTAGGGCAAGTCCGAATGAATTTTTGCTATAGTTTAATGACAGGAAAAAAGGTCGGCGCACCCGTCGCATATTGTGATTGTTTTTATTCTATTTTATTTATATTCTTATTTCTTTTTTTTTATGTACTGTAAGGATTATTTATTGTATTTATTGTAACACACCCAGTGGAGAGCGCTCCTAATTTCGTTGTATTGTAAAGTACAATGACAATAAAGGCATTCAACTCAATTCAATTCAGTTCAATTCAATAGAAGGGTTGTCCCTATTCTCTTAATAAATAATAGGTATGTTTTGGCCGTAACTTGCAATAAACCAACCAGAGTCTCATCTCACATTCACTTTAAAAGCCAGTTATGCTCGCACCATGGCGGATTGCTATTTACATGGCATAATTTGCAAATGGAAAGACTGAACGCCAGAGAAGAACCGGATCTTATTGTGCGGGAGGTTAAAGCGAGTGAGCAGACAATCCACGCCTGGGCAAGCCGGATTCCACCATATTTTTATGTACACAATAATAATTTTACATTGTAATCCTTTTATTTTTAATATTTGGCATGTTTGTGTGCAGCTGTGCATCCCTGTATGTGTAATGAGCAGAGTGTAAGCACGTTGTGGACCTGCCTACACACATTAAACAAATATTGCGCCATTGACTTAAGACCAGGTTTCCGTTGGTCAATGGCGCTGTCTATTTCAGTTGCCTCAAAATAGCAACGCGCCAACAATGCGCCTGAACACACCTCATCTTCAGACCAGCACGCCCATGAGCGCACAAATGGGCGCAAATGCATTTGATATTTGAAACAACGCAGTGCAGGACGTGAAAATGATAACTGCGTTGGGCTGAAACTAGCAAAAAACACTTGCGTCGCACCTGATGCTGCATTGCGCCAGCCAGGTGTATGATAGGGTCCTAAATGTCTGAGTAATGTTCAACATGCACTGACCATATACAAATACAGCATCAGTCACACAGACGCATACTTTTCCTGCTCCTCCATTTCCCTGCGTTGTTTCTCCTCCTGTTCCTTCAGCAGTCTGGCCAGACGCCTGCGTTCTGCAAGCAGACGAGACGCCTCCTCAGCATCTGTCGTTCCAGCAACCACCTTGCCAACAGAGTTCACCGGTGAAGGATCTGTCAGAGTGAAAGCAAGAGTAAAACCATTTTAAAGCAACTGTGAATGAGAAAAGCATAAATACAAATTAGACATATCATTGCAGTTAAATTGAGTTTTAACAAGAGAGACACTAGTCCAAAACTACTCAACTTTGGAAAGCTCAGGGACCACAAAACAGGATCTCTTTAGGCCCTTTTTCTAGGGACAAACTCCTAATTTAGATACTATAGTAATTCTTCTATACTAATGAGACCATGTGTGGTATGCAGTATGACCAAAATCTTATATCACAGCAACAGAATATATCATGATATCATTCTTTTTTTCCTTCAAATTTAACCCAAAAATGTATATTACACAATCATGTAGTAATTAATGGCTATTTTTTAATAATCCAGTTAATTAAAAAGCTTTACAAATGAATGTTATACTACTTCCTCTCACTTAATTATTTTTAGCCAGTGTTTTATCTTAATTAGTTTATTTTAATTGAACAGTGTTTGGTATTTTTTGTATTTTATATTTGTCTTCAATTAATTTAAACTGAACTGATCAATGCACACCAAAAGATAAGATTAACTTGTAATCCAGTCAATGGTGCAAAAACAGCACATATTGCAACTCAAATAAAAAACAAAACACAAAAAAGTAGCACATGTAAAATATGATAAATAAACTTTATATGAAAAGCTTCAAAAAATGACTTGAGTGAGTCTGCACTAGTGTACTGTCATATTGTGACTCACCTGCACACTTGCTTGCAGTCGCATCATACCCGTTTGACTTGGGATGGTTTTTCTCAGGGGTCTCCCTCTTGTCATTCATTTTTTGTTGGTTTTCCAAAACACTTTTCTTATCCTTTGCGCCATTAGTGTGATTTTCTATCTTTATTGATCTTCTTTCTGGAGGAGGTGTCCCGGAAACAGACGTCTCCATTTTTGGTGCCTTATCCAAACTTTCATTGTTAGGGCCCTCCTTCGGACTTTTGATGTCCTCAGCATTTTTGACTGGTGTGGCGGGTCTGTGTTTCATGGGGGAGGGTGGATACTGCCGCACTGTACATGGTGACTGAGTACGATTCTTGGGGACTAACCTTCAACCATACAAACAAACAGCTGATTCAGATACTTATAGTCAGCAGAGTCCTGAATAAAAATGTAATTAATTGGAGAACATCACTTCCCTAGCATCCTATATAATATATATAGATAAGTGTGTGTATGTTACTTGGGTGTGGCAGGTGAGGCAGAGCGCTGGGTAACATCCGCAGGAGATTTCGCTCGCCTCACTGGTGAACCTGTGGCCGGAGAGCCAGTCCTCCTCTCTCTACGTAATCTCTCCTTCTGCAACAAACACAAATAACACATAACACTCTATGGTACACAGCTGCCAAATCGCAACATACCAGTTTCCTTCGCTTTGTCATTTCTCACAAACACAAAAAATTCCATTGGTGAAATCAAAAGAGTCTTTAAAGTAACCAATAATGTGCTTTTTTAACCCACTTGACTATTGATTTCCTCTAAGTTTTTTAATATCAACCTCATATTTCTGATGGTCTTTTTACTTTTTTAAAAGTTAATTTGGTGTTTTTATTCAAAGATCAACTTTGTTTCAAAAATTAAGATTTCATTTTTTTTTTTTAGAGAAATCTCTTATGCAAGGCTGCATTTATTTGATGCAATATTCAGTAAAAACATAAACATTATGAAAAAGTATGAAATGAAATAGTTTCAAGTATTTGTTTTCTATTTGAATATATATTTTGAAATGGAATTTATTCCTGTGATGTTAAAGCTGAATTTTCAACATCATTACTCATGATGAACAGTCTTCAGTGTCACATGATCCTTCAGAAATATGAGGTAAAATATGTATATATATATATATGTGTGTATTTACTGTCACTTTTGATCAATTAAATGTATCCTTGTATTAATGTATGAAAAAAACAGTAGATTCATTTTTACAAAATATTGATAAGATATCACCACATGTTTATTCTGCATTAATAAATGAGACATTTAACATTAAATCAATTTAATCAGAGGATTTATTAATAAAAAAATATATTGTGATACCATTATGCAAATTTTCCTCCATTTGTTTTTCCAAATTGTCATTAGAGTGTTAAAATCAAATGAATTAAAATGTACATAAAAATAGATAGTGCTAATGCAAATACTGCAATAGTGCATAAATCCAATCAATAATGAAATAATGCAAATATAATAGAAGGATAAAAGTGTTTTATTGCCTGCATTTGCATGTCTGTACGGCTACGGGTCAGTATGACTAGCTAAAAACAGAAGAGGTGAGCTTCTTTTGAGTTTGTAACAGGTACTGTATGTCCTGACCTTGGGGGTGTTGGGGGCACTGACAGCTCCAATGGACTCTTCTGCTGGCACAGGATTGTTTCTGCGGCGGCTCGGTGACCCTCGGTATGGTGACCTGTGAGGACTGGGGGGCACTGAATGGGAGAGACATAGGAGCATTTCTCAGTCAGAATAGATCCATCGATATTATCATTTCTGTCTACACAGCGTAAACTGACATTAAACACTTAAGCCACATGTACACACACATACACACTCTTTGGTTATTTAAAACAAACAAACAAACAAACAAAAAACATTCAGTGGCACAAATGAACACAGACGTAATTCAGCTCCAAGCTTTCACAACAAAATACACCTGTTGCGGGGTGTGTGTCTGTGTGTTACCTTTGCAGTGCAGGCAGGACAGATGCATCTCTGCAGCACTGTTACAGTGAGCCAGTGAGGATTGTGTGTGTGTGAGGAGGCGATTCACTTTTTGTTTGTCCATAGAATTCAGATGACCAGGATGGGCTGACAGAGAGAGGGATGGAGGAATGCAGAAAATGAAGGGGAAAAAGGTAGGGATGAATTGGGTGGGTGGGACTGACATAACTATTGTTTAAGGTAATTCAGATTTCAGTTATTCTCTTCAGTAATTCAGTTTATGGCATCTTTCCTAACAAACCCAATTAGGATATATAGAAAACATGACGATGAAGGGCAATTAGTGCATGTGAGTGTGCGTGTGTGTGTATAGTTAAGTCTATGTGACCATGCCTGCTGAGATCCAAATAGAAAGAAAAACTACCCATGTGCAGACATACATGCACACGCAACACTTCCACAGTGAAATAACCATAGCTATGATTAAAGTACTGGTTCACACAAATTAAGTTGTTAGTAAAAAATGTACAGTCACAATCATACAAAACTCACAAGAAGACACAGCAGCCCACTGACATTCAGATTTGCTTTGACTTTCACCAACCAAGTACTGAGCAGAGCAAGTGCACAATAAATATACAGTGCCGTGCTAAAGAATTCAGACTCACAATTCAGCAATTCACCCATTTTCTGTTTTGTTTTTTTATTTCAAAACACTAATTTAGCTTACCACCATATTGAAATAGTGCCACAGATTATCAGATGGATGCGATTTTCACGAGGCTCTATTTGCTTAAAGGAGAACTCCGGCGCAAAATGAACCTTTGGTCTAATAACACATTGGTACCTAGTCGACCGTTCTCTGAGATTTGTTTTCATGATAATCGAATGTAAAGAGTTTTATCTCTAAAAACTGTTTAGATTACAACGCTAGTATATGGAGGCATAATTAATAATAGTGAATACCACTAACAAGGCTCAAAATAGCCCCACACTAACACATAATGAGGGTCCATACATGCAAAACGAAGCATTGAAAACTTTGTAAGTGTACAGACAGTTTAATAAGAAGATGTTTTATAAAGACGGTCCACTTCGTGTATACAGCCAGGAGCCATCTTTGGAAAACAGTCTTGACAAGTTTTCCAGTTTTTTTAAGAAATAAAACTCTTTACATTCAATTATCATGAAAACAAATCTCAGAGAACGGTCGACTAGGTATCAGTGTTATTAGACCAAAGGTTCATGTTCCACCAGATCTCCTTTAAAGGGTACTTTTTACATTGCAAGTGGTTCTGGCCTGTGCAAAACATGCTGTCATGATGCTAGGATTTTGACAGGGTGTTGCTATGTGGTTGCTAGCATGTTGCTATGCAATTAATGAATGTAGATTTTTGGGGCTGATTTCTATGTGGTTTTGTATTGACACAAGTAAAAAAAGAAAAACATGCCCAAGTGTGATACACTTACAAATATTTAGGTCTAAATTTTAAATGTAAGCTTTATGCATTCGATTTGCAATACAATTTCTGACCCTTACTGACCCAAACTGACTGCATTTTAAATACTGACCAAGTTTATATATGATTCATCAATAAATCCAATTTATTTCAATCTCATATCACATATCTCAATGTAATCTCTTTTTAACTATAATTGAATATAGTTTGTTCCTTAGCTAGCCATATTTGATCTGAAAAAAATAAACTGATTATGAAAAATGATTATAAACTGATCATGTTCTAAGCTATTTTAATGAATACATTTTGAAAGGATGTTTATATAACCAACTAGTTGCCAATAGTTAAAATTAAACTTTGGCATGATTTTCCATACCAACTAGAAGCCAATAGTTCAAATTAAATTTTGGCGTGATTTTTCCAGTGCAAAATCTTAACCGTTTCATGTATGTATGACTGGCAAATATGCATCACATTTATTTGTTTTCTTAAAACTGTTTTCAAAATAGATGGAAATGTTAAATGCAATTTTCCTATATATTTGTGGGAGTCTGGTCCTTAGATATGGCTCATGTCCCTCCTTTATAGGATTATTTTTTTACCTGTTTTCTCACCCGGCAGGTGAAAATAATAAGTCAGGCTTTATTATTTGCCATAGCATGCACCACTAATTAAACAAATTTTGGCTTTCAGTGATTAAAAATAAATTAAAAATCACATTAAACTGAATTTAAATAAAGGGTTTGTAATTCAGTGTTTGAGAGAACGTGCTAAAAGCCTGAATATGTTTACAAGGCACTGTACATTCAGATTAGTTATAGCAGCATGTGAATTGCTCAGCAAAACAAAAATCTTGGACATTTTCATACTTGAAAGCAGCCTTCTCTTGTCATCCCCTTATCTTGCTGGCTCTTGATCTAAAAACATTTCAAGGCAGCTAATTTTACATAGCGTTAATGGGCAGTCTCTTGTCTGAGACATAAATGCAACTGGGTCCCATTTGGATATTATGTAAGCATTTACCCCATTTAGCCCCGTAAATGCTCAAGCAGGAACCAGGGAAGGAGAGCAGGCTGGTTTTGAGTTTTGGAATGGAAACCAAAAACTAAAGGAATGGTGTCAATCTGAGGGGACAGGAGGCAGAAGGTGTTGAGAAAAGGCCAGCTTTAGGGTTCATACCGTTGCCTGATTCGATGGCAGTAGGAGAGGGGGCAGCGAGGTCATGGGGGAGGGCAGCAGAGAGAGGAGGCGGGGCATTCTCCCAGTCACCTGGGCGATGGGGTCATGGCAGAGCACAGCAGAAACAGCACAGCGTTATGGACAGACTAGGCACGCTTTGGTGAAGTGTGTGTTTTTGGGGTGGTGTGTGTGTACCTTACCACACACACCTAAACACTTTCACCACATCCTCTGGCGCTCACCAAGCATAGCAGCCAGACACAATGAGCAGGGCTGATCTGACTTCAGACACATTCAAACTCAAAACCTGTGTCCTTCACATACACACACACACACACACACACACACACACACACACACTGCAATCATCAAATCAGAACACACTTTTATGATCAAGTCCTGAAATCATCTCAATGCTCTCAATAAGCATTAATGTCTAGGGAAAAACATAAAGCAACAGGAATTAGGATGATTGTATCTTAAGATAAAACATTCAAATATCACTGTGGATAAAAGCACACTAAATTAATGAATGTAACTTTTTAATTTAAGCTGTCTTTTCAATTTTAAATAAATAAATGTATTAATTAATTAATAATGTTGAAATGTTATTTCATTTTACAATCTACAACCTACGGAAGCCCTGAATCCGCAAGGTAAAAAAAAAATCTGTAAAAAAAAAAAAAAAAAAAGCTAGCATTTTGATATTGAAGTGGAAAACTTTCGAGATTAAAGTCAAAACATTTCGAGATTAAAGTCGAAATATTTCGAGAGTAGCCTACGAGAAAACAGTCTTCCGTAGAAGTTGCGTGTGTGCTTGCCATTGTTTCACACTGCCGCACACACAGGCACTCATAATGGTGCAAAGCGAGTGTTTCACACTGTGTGTGTGTGTTTGCTTGTGTGTGTGTTTTGTTTCAACAAAAGGAAATTAGACAGGTGCCAATCTACCAGCATTAGGCTATCATTATAGGACGTTATAAAATATACTGCACAGGAATAGACTTTAGCCTATAGGAAAATCAACCCAGAAAACACTTTTCAGACTGGATGGAGATATCCAGCTTTATGAATGAATGAATGAATGAATTAATTAATTAATTAATTAATGAGGCATTTATATAGCGCTTTCAAATGTCTACTAGGCCTACACTCAAAGCGCTTTACAATCAGAGAATCTCTCCTCAACCACCATAAGTGGTTTTTAAATCTGAGGAAATCACGGGATCCGGCCAAATGATTGGATACAGAATGATGCCCTTAAAATGTATCTAGAACGTATTTACAGTGAAGAGGGAGACAGAACGGTTACTGTTGTGTTCTTGACCCAGCTAGTGTTGCCTAGACGAGCAACACCTCAAAAACATGCCACATAAAAGTTTGGACCAGATTGTGATACCTACTCTGGCGGAGTCTGTGCTGTGTTGGTAGATTAGCACCGGTGTAGAATGTTTTTGAAGGCCCAGATAAAAGTAAAAAGCTACTAATTTGTGTTGATCCAAGGCAGTTGGACTTCACAAGTGCATTTCACACACACGCGCGCGCTCTGAGCCAGTGGACGCGCACTGTTATGAATGCACACACTTCTATGGAAGACTGTATTATATGGAAGACTGTATTATCGTAATGTTTTGACCTTAATCTCGAAATGTTTCGACTTTAATCTTGAAATATTTATAATTTAATGAAATGTTTTGACTTTAATCTCGAAAAGCTCGATTTTTTTTTTTTTTTTTTTTACAGATTCTTTTTTTCTTTTTTTTTTTACGTTGCGGTTCAGGGCTTCCGTACCTCAGAAATATTAAAAAAACACATATTTCCTTTTGAACTTCCTTAGCTTTTTAAATGATTAAATCTAAGGCTCCAAATCAATAACCAATTTCTTAACCAATTAATGAGCCTGTATCTAAATCAAGCCAAAAGGAAGGTGCGCAGCACACACAAAGTGCTGATTCACTTATGCCTGCCTGTCTTTCCTCTCTGATGAGCTGAATTATGAAACCTGAGCTCAGCTCTAATAACACTGTGTCCTAAAGCCCAGACGAAAATCATGAAAATGCAAATACACTGCACTGTAGCTGCACAACAGCTTCCTAACATACAACTGCTCTGTGGAAAATGTACATGACAAAAAAAAAAAAAACATTTAAAGCCAATAATCTTGTATTTAACTAATATTTAAAAAAAAAAAAAAAAACGTTCATGACATAAAATGAAAATGGAATTTTTAATAGTAAATTAAATTGAATTTAGAAAGATGCCCAAAAAAAAGCATTTTCATGAGTGATCTCAATCCACCATTTCAGTACTAGTGCCTTCCTTCCATTCTCACTCCATCACTACTCGCTCCTCACTCCCCTCCACCAAGTCTCTCCTTTTCTTCATCCAATGTCATGAGTGTTCATTACACTCACCTTGAGCGGTGCCGTTGGGACCCCATACCCAGCGTTTATTCCTGTTCTCCAGCTGCAGGCTGCGCTCATGTGATCTCCTCATCAGAGCCTCCAGACGCTCCTGTGTGTGCCGTTACAGCACAGGAAACACCAGACACTCACTTCACCAATGGATATTTACACCAACAATATTAGCACAACTACTCAGTAAACAGATATATGCACTGAAAGAAAAATACGCATAATTCCATATGAGTGCTCGTATGCACCACCGTTCAAAGGTCTGGGCTGAGATGTTTTATTTTTTGAAAGAAACTAATACTTTTATTCAGTAAGGACCTATTAAATTGATCAACTGTAACAGTAAAGACATTTATATTATTATAAAAGATCTCTATTTAAACAAAAAATGCTACTCTACTGAAATTTCTACTGAATTTTTTTTTATAAATGCAGTACATCTGTTTTCAACATTGATAATAATTACAAATATTTCCTGAGCACCAAATCAGAATCAGAATTATCACCAAATTAGAAGGATTTATGAAGGATCATGTGACACTGAAGACTGGAGTAACAATGCTGAAAATTCAACTTTGCAGTCACAGGAATAAATTACATTTTAAAATGTATATTCAAATACAAAATTACTGTTTTATTAATTATGGATCAAATAAATGCAGCCTTGGTGAGCATAAAACATTTCTTTCAAAAACATTTTAAAAAATCTTTAAAGAATGGCAGAAGATACTAATTATAACCTTAACTTTAAAGGATTTCAGGTTGTAATGATTAGCACTAGAACTCATTCCCTTACATAGAAAGGGTGCTATATAAGCACCACATGATCAGTAAGTCGTATACTCAAATATTCACATGACTATTCAGAAAGCACGTTTCAGCCATCTTATTTACGCTTTCATTTGTGTTTGCTTTTGCATCTATGAAAATGGTTCCAGCAACATTTGTTGAGACCATCATCACCTCCCCCGCATGCCACCTTGTTCCTCTTTCTGTCTTTGCCCACTCCTTTACAGGATCTGCTTTTCCAAAATGAACATAGTTGTGAAAAGCTGACTGTGTGGCAGATGAAGGCAGGCAGTGTTTGAGAAGAATAATGAATCCACAGCCCAGCGAGAGATAAGGATTAAAATACAGTCTGATCTGATCTGGCCAAATCCCTCTGATTGGAGAAGTATCACAAGCCACAACACCCAGTAACACTCGCAGGCTCATAACAGATAAATGAGTGTGTAAGACTAGTGTCTGCCCTGTGGGTGGCTGATATTACATGGCAAGGCAAGAATTCATTGCCATAGATACAGTGCATTTGCTGAAAATGTCATTTCACACAAGTCATGATTCTTTCTTTTTTTTTTCTTCTTAAATTCAGATGGTTTTGAATGGATACAATGCAGCCCTACATGTATTCACAATACAGACTGTATAGCTGTCCTACGGTTATTGGAGATGAATCACAAGGGATGTTTGAAATTACTGTCCTGAGATCTGGCATATCAGTGCTATATGAGAAAATAGCATCTGAAAGGTCAAGGGAAGAAGAGCCCAATTATCTTGTGTCCTTCTCAAATGAACAGAAAAACAGCATCTATAATTCCAGGGACTCGTTAACCTAGAACTGGTGGATTTGACTAGAGATCTCTGACCTTCTCCTCTTCTAGCTGCTGTCTTCTCTTCTCCTCCACGGCTGCCCTGCGAAGCTCCTCCTTCTGTCTCTGCTCGTCCAGTCGCTTCCATCGCTCTTCCACCGTCTTCTCATATTGCAGCTGAGCTCGCTTCTCCTTGTCCTTTATAGCTTGCTCCCGTGCAGCTGAGAAAGAGAGAGAAATTATTGACTACATTCTGGCTTGTTATGAAAAAACACCATCCAACTCAGAGCTCATCTTCGTTACTGACAGCTTCTCACAGGGAATGTTCTTGTGTAAATTCACCATTTTTTCAACTGTTGGTCTATGTAGATGTGCAATAAACTAGACAAACATCTTTGGCAATTAGAAATTGTGTTTTTTAGATACCGGGAAAGGTTACTAAGGGTTAAGTTAAACCCTTAGGTAGATTTGGTTTGTAGTGGACAAGTTCATACATCTTAACAAACTTCTTAGTGATCATTAAATATCAAACCATTTATCCACTGTAACTGTGTAATACAAAGCTGTGTCTCCCCCATCAGCCAACTAAACCATCAGATGAGAAAATTATTTTCGTAACTTGTAACTAAATAAAAAGTCTCTTACCTCAGAAAAACAACATTTTCTGTCCTGTCATACTTTATATATACTAAGTATATACTTTCAATAAAATGCAAGTTGCTTTGAATAAAAACATTTGCTAAATGCATAGATTAAAACCTTAAATTAAAGGTGCCATCTGGCACAAAAAAATCAAATCATATTCCATATTCCAAACCAGATGGGGGCAGTATACTCCAGAAAGTGAGTTGTGCCGCAGCCGCGCGCACTCTCACGTCTTCAAACAACACAAGCGAGCGTTGTTTTGCTCTCTTTCCCTCGCGCATATCATTCAAATCATTTGACACGACAGTAAAAGGTTGGAAGACTGCAGTTTCACGTGGAGCATTTGGAGATTTTTAGAGATCAGAGACTCAATGAACAACATCTCAACACTAAATGATGAAGACCGTCTCATAGACGCCTGTCTCAAAAACAAGCTGGTGCATTTCGACGATATGGGAAAATAAAAGCCTGGGCTATTATTTTAAGTTTACAGTATTCGTTTTGTTTATATTACACTTTTATTGTTAGTTTGAATTAATTTGAAAGACAGCATTCGCTGATGTTGATCAAGCTAGCGCCATTCAGAGCTGCCAACTCTCACGAATTCACAGCGAGACACACGCAATTGACACTTAGCAAGCAGGTTAGTTAAGCTCTCAGATTCTGTCAATTTTATTACGCAATTCAAACAATAAATACCGTTTTGGCGCTTGTACATGTTACACCACAGATCCCTAGCGCACGTGAACCGATCATCTCTACTAGTTAATGGAAAAAGAACATGAACACTGTTGAAAGTGCTACAACTTAGCAAAATGTATTCCTCATGCATAATGTCGACCAATAATTTTTTGAACTCTTCCCTGAATGTAGTAGTGGGCTGTATTTCCACACGACTGACATCAGGTTCAAGTACACACACAAGCCGTGCGACTTACTCGTGTACTGCAGTTTGGCTGGTGGTTATGTTGCCCGCCCGCATACCGCCTCCCATGGCCGAAACTGGTATTACGACACCTGCCGAGCCGGGGCTAGTAATTTAGCATGCTAATTTAGGTTTATATCTTGGCAGCACTATAACTTGTCAGTTTTTTATAACATCATTGCACTTGTTTCTTCTCATTCTTTTGATGAGTGTAGCTCATTTTTTGGATATTTTTACCTCAATTATTACATATGGCACCTTTAAGGCCCATCCAAAGTTGAAATCGCCCTGTGAGTCACTTACTCAATTTACTGCCCGCACACTTACAGAGACATAAACAGACACACTTACCCAAACTCTTCTCCCTCTCCTCACGCCTCTCTTTGGCAAGCCTCATCCTATCATCTGTCTTCAAATAGCCCTCCAAATCTTTGACAGAGTGACAGGGAAAAAAAAAACTAAGGAAAATAGACACTTTATCTCTCTAGACAGGTTTTACACTGCCTGTTTTTTTAAACAAACAGACAGATGAGTTGGAAGATGTCCACTCAACACAAACAGAAAAGGTCGGACTTACATTGTTTACCTGCATATGCGTTGGTATTGGTCGAATGGCGTGAAGGTGAAGCGTGTCCATTGGTCTGAGTTTTCTTTTCTGTGACAGTGGGTGGAGTCAGTGCATCAGCTTTAGATAGGATGAAGATAAAGAATCCATTAGTAGCCATTGTTAATTCTGTAATCAAACTCTTTTCAACAATATGATATCTGTCCAAAAATCATATATAATATAATATAATATAATATAATATAATATAATATAATATAATAATGAATGCATTCCTGTAGCTTAAAAAATACAGAATGGCGCTTGCAACACCAAAGTCATGGGTTTGATTCCCAGAGAATTCAAGAACTGACTTTAATAGTTTAATAAAGGTGCAATGAACCATTTCTGAATCACTAGCAGCAGAGAATTGTAAAAATGTTGACTATTTCCATCTGTGCCAATAGCCTTGAGGGCATTGTTTCCAAACCTCTACCACCCTGTCTGCTATTTTTTGAACAAAACTGGTAGTTTGGCTTACCTAAACTTGAGAGTCTGCATTCTACTTGATTCATCACAAAAACGAAACATTTCATCTTTAATGCTATTGGGCGAAGTGTAGAAGGGTCTTACTCTGTTTCATTGAAGGGCTGCCTGGGTTGGTTTTCTGGTAAGTTGGTGAGGCATGGCCATTGCTTTGAGATTTCTTTTCCGGAGTTAAAGGTGATGTCATGACTTTAGTAACTGCAGAGAAATAGAGAACACGCCAATAGTGGTGGAAAATGATTGAAACAGCAAGCTTCAGTTTTGAGTAGACCTTGACATACATAGCTGGCCTTGTTAGACAGAGATATTGTACTTGAGTTATAAAGACACACACACATACTGTAAGTATATAAAATAGCAGACAGAGCATTGCAGAATTACTGTTGAACCAACTGAGTTAGACGAAAACAGAGAGTTTGTTTATGTTCTGAGTCTAGCAGAAAGAAGAGACCATTGATTATTTCTGGACTAGATTATAAATCTGAAGCTATGGCCTAAATACTTCTGCTTCATCTATTCCCAAAATTTAAATGCAAATACAATCAGTCATTTCACAGTCACATACACTTAATAGAGTCAGACATTACATCATTTATCCACAAAGATCCACTGACAATCGATATATTAGGCAATTTAGTACAGAACCAAATTACATTTCGTGACCCGAAGAGTACAGTGGCCTCTAAAAATAACTAGATGGTTCTTAAATTGTCTACTTTATTTACTTGTTGACAGCATTGAAATCCCTTTAGTTCAGTTATGTTCCGTTTCCGATCTTCTTTCCTTCCTCTGATGACGGTTCTTTTAAATAAATTGCTCACTCATGATGGTGTCTGTTGTTGGCTGTCTCCTTCCTTCCTCTCTCTCTCTCTCTCTCTGCTTCCAAATCTATATTCCCAGTACACACAGTATCTCTTCTATAAGAATCAGAGAGTGCACATAAAGCTGACTGAGCTCAATATCATAAAGAACGATGAATAAAGCAACACAGCACTACAACTACTGTGGATTTATATAATAATTTTAAATAATTATAAATCAATTATTTTGTAGATTCTACATTTAAAGTCCACCCAACTTTATTGTATACACTAGTAAGTAACATAAAAGTGATCTGTCAAAATACTGCCACACACTAAGTGCACTATTCAGATTTGGTTAAGGACACTAAAATAACAGGCAGTAGGACAATGACAGTTCTGCTGCAGATGCTGCTGCTTAAATCACACGCATTCACTCAAAGCTATAGCCAACTGAAGCGAGCTCCTAAGCCGGATGTAGCTCTCTTCATCGATTTTCAATTAAATTAATTTGGCAAATGGATGTGGTTTAAGTCTTAACGGCTCTAATCTCATCAGAGTTTTGACTTTATAGTGTTGGGCGCTGTTTGCCCCGTCAACTTTCGAGAGCCTCCCATGCCATGAAAATGCAACGCAGTACAAAAATAATGTAGGCTAGGCTACTTGCCCCATCTGAGGATGACAAACAAACAAACAAACAAACAAACAATAAAGCGAATCGCACAAAAAAATCTGAAAAAGCAAAAGGTAGGACTGAATGAAAGACGAATTCCGAAGTGGAGCAAGGCCAGTTGGGATGTGAAAGCATAATAAACCAGAAGCTTTAGCGGTTTTTTGTTGTCCAGATCAGACAGAACAGCATTTTGAAAAGGAAATAATTCAACTGGGCACGTCAGTCATTGTTCTTCATCGCCACGCTGTAAGCTAGTGTGCATGCTAGATAAGCATAAATATATCTATGAGTGAATCATTGTCCTACTCATCCAATACCACGCTAACAAAACACCGCAGCTACGCTTACTGAATTATTAGCAGACAGATGTTACCTTTGAGCAAGTCGCTCACCTGTCGTTGTATTGACAGCGGTGTTGACAGCGTTCTCCGCCATCTTCGTGGTCCACCGGTCCGGCGGCTCTCCCAACCGCAATGTCACGGACAGCGACGCAGCAAAACGCTATCCCCAAAAATTCAGGCCAAGAGAAACAGCATAGCCAGCCCCTTCCTGGACTGCCGCTGCGGTACCGGGAACCGAACTCAGCAGAATGCGCTCTGTGGCGCTTTCATGTTATGCAGTGACGAATCGATTAAGATGAAAGTTAGTCTCGCAGTCGCACGGCAGCTGGGAGTTTTCTTACCAGCTGCCCCGTAAAGAGGATACGAATAGCGTTTGTGGAGAGAGACTGGATAGAGAAGCTGGACAGCACAGCAGTGCTGAAACACTGAGTGACGTCATCGACATCTGTGAAGCAGAGGCAAAGAACTGATTTAGATGTTCGAGAAACTACTGCCCACGTCCACATGTTCACAACCAAAACTTTTCAATTACACATTTTTAGGCTACTTAGGGCGAATTAAAGAAGGCAATAATGGATAACACAATGAATAATAATAGCAGCTAAAATGCTAATTTATTTATTTTTTTCGTCGGCAGCTACGCGTCCAAACAATTCCACTGACCTCAAAAATATGCAAATTTGAACGTCACGGTCAAATGTAACTTAAATTCTACATATTTAAATAATAATATCCTAATTAATTTTTTTTATGATGACAAAAAAGATATAGACAAGAGACACATTTTTTACTTATTACATACTGTATGTGATTGGTCTGAATGAAAACCCAATATCAGCCATTTAAAAGCTGACATGAAGATTTACCTTGAAACCTCACAATGACTTAAGCCAGAAAGCAATCACAACTAAGGACATTACACATAATTAAATTCATTTTATTTTATTTATACACGTATACCCCCTTTTTTTTTTTCTTCTTTGACATGAATGTAATACCAGAACTCTTATTAATGATTTTATGATGCTATGGAATTAGACATTTTATTATTTTATAGCAGCATTATATATGAAACATTTATATCTTTTGAAATTATACATGTATATTTTGTTTGAAATAAACATAAAACTCAGGATAATTACTAATACACTGTGAAGTATGAACAGTTAAACAAAACCATTTTCCAGGATTAACAATTTTAAGCGTGAAAAGCTTAATTTACACTTCTAAAATTGCCCAAACTGGTTAAAAGGAACATGACCAAACACTGCATCACAGGTTTAAGGGAAGTTTGAGGTTATTGCTAGGTCTCCTAGGATAGTGAACAAACGGTTGTTCCGTGGAGACAGTCCATGTGATATAGATTAAACGTGGCAGTCTGAAACAGCCAGAGGGGCAGCAGGACTGCCACTAACGAGTCCAAATCAAATGGGTCAGTGGAACTTCTCATACAAAGTGATGTGCACATAGAGGGTGCACAACACTTGAAAAGATCGTCTCCAAACATCCAGGAAACCTACAATTGCGTGACCCAACTAATGTCTGCAAAAACTTTTGCAAGTTTTTACACCGAATTTAAAAACCTCTAATATTTTTTGGGACTAATGCTACTAGTAAACATCTAAGTGTTTAAGTTTATGGCTAAAGGGTTTGTTTTAAATTCAGTATTATGCAAAAAAAAATAAAATAATAATGACAGTTTCAGCCAAATAGAGGTCAAATTATGTTACTGCTGCTTCTACTCCACACAAACTGACGGTGAAAAACAACAACAAAAACTTAAAATATATATTTTTATTTTGGGCACTGCAGAAATGCATGCAAATGCCATGGGGAAGAGACAGTGTGTATGTAGAAAATAAAAATACAGAAAAAAACAAAGCAAATATACAATATAAGAAATAAAGTTCAGTCCAAACAGATAAAAGGCTCGACTTTTTATTGTAGATTCTGGATTTCCTTGCATTTTAAATTCCACCACATACAGTGGAATACAATATAAATACTTTAAAACCATAACAAAAATATGCAGTCTAAGTTTTGTTGTTGTCATTAAATGTTAAGGAAAAAGATTTATGTGACCGTCAGAATTCTCAGAGTAGACTTGTAGTCAGATTACGTGCTAAAGAGAGAGAAACAGATAGTTAAGCAATAAGCCTCTGAGTGTTTCTCTGAGGGAGCTTGCAGTAGGATATAGGGCATTAATTACGCCCAAGTTGCAATTTTTCCCCAACAAGGAAGCGCTTTCTCTTCTCAGTGTAAACAGTACAGCTCACCAGCAGTCGTGACTCAGATCTGTGTAAGAGGCCAGAAACAAACACATTAAGGTATAGGTTTCCCCAAACACTTCAGTAATGATGTTCTTGAGATTTAGGCTGTTTTATGCAGATAAACAGCCTAAAGTGATTCACTACAGCACTAAACAGTTTACATTCTGTTTACTTGGTTACTGTTTCTTTTAAAGGGTTAGTTCACCCAAAAATGAAAAATCTGTCATTAATTACTCATCCTCATGTCGTTCCAAACCTGTAAGACTTTCGTTCATCTTCGGAAACACAAATGAAGATAAAAAAATATCTTTAATTTCTGTTCCGAAGATGAGCAAAATTCTTACGAGTTTGGAACAACATGAGGGTGAGTAATTAATGACAGAAATTTTATTTTTGGGTGAACTATGCCTTTAATAGATCAATGACAGAACATAATATACTTGTAATATATGCTTCTACACTACTGTTTACATTTTGGGTCAAAAATACTTTAAGGTTTCTGAACGATGTCTCTTATGCTCACAAAAGGCTACATTTATTTGATTAAAAATACATTAAAACAGTAAAACTGTGAAATATTATAACAATTTAAAATAATTGTTATATATTAATTTATTTCAAGTGCATTTTATTCATTTGAAGACTGAAGTAATTATGCTGAAAAATCAGCTTTGCAATCAGTGTCACATAATCCTCCAGAAATCATTCTAATATGTGGATTGGGTGCTCAAGAAAGATTTATAATTGTTATCAATGTTGAAAACTGCTAAATGTTTTGTTTTTTATATCTGAATTCTAGAAAGTTCAGAAGAACAGACCTAAAATTTGAACTGTAAACATTTCTACTGTTACTTCAATTTAATGCGTCTTTTCTAAACAAAAGTATTTGTCTCTTTAGAAAGAAAGAAAAAAACTGACCCAACATTTGATTGGTAATGCATCCAAGTTGTACAGTGGACATACACTAATACAGGCAACAGAAACTAATCCCAGCACTTTGATATTCATAACAAATAAGACACCGTTGCTCCTGTCGTGATAAAAAAAGAATCGTGCACTTACGTCATCAATTTCCTCATCGTCATTACCAATATCATCAAACAGAATCTCATCATCATCTCCAGGTCCAAATGTGTCCGTTTCATTGATTTTAGCTGCAGGAAAGACAAGAAGAAATCAGCCAAAAATCTTTTAAACTTTAGAACACACCATCCTCCTCGAGGATAGAAAACTTGTGCTATGTGAGCTTTACTTTTGTGTACTATATCATCTGGCACTTTTAATCGTGGTGGGTGATTTGTTTTAGTACCATGACATTTCCATTAAAACAACTAAACAGTAAAAAAAAAAGACAAAATGATACGACTAATGCCAGTTTGAGACTTACCATGTTCTGGAAGTTCTCCGTAGGCTTTAAGACTGCGAGCCTCATCTGCATTGTACTTTAAAATGACATCTGCTTTGTTGTCCTGTGAAAAACATGAAAAAATAAACAAAATAAAAATTGCAACTAATAATATAATAAAATGTCAATTAAATCGGGGGAGGAGAGAAGAAAAAGAACAACATCTACCTGGTAATCTCTAAGACCAACAAGGATTATGTCAGATGCATTGATCCAAACCTAAAGGAGATGAAACAATGTGTTGAAAACTTGGCCAAGAAAAAAAAGTCTAATGATCACCATAAAAAAAAGTTAGGTAAGCAGTGTTAATAGTAGTTAAGTAGTAAGCAGTCTTAAGCAGAAATAAGAGGTCAAATTAAAATTAAATTTTATGAAAGCATCTAAACCATACAGCCATAGAAAAAGAGTCATTCAGATTCATAAGCCTACAGAAGATCACTTAAGATCACAGATCTGATTTTTATATTTGTGTTTTTTTTAATATTTTTTATGTGTGTGAACAGCATGTGTATTGAAACATGCTGAACCAAAATTTTCCCATGGGTAAAATAAAAGCCAATACAATCCAATACACAGAAGAGACTGTCGTCATTAACGTTATCATACCTTTTTCCGGAGCTTTCCTCGGATATGGCAAAGCCGCTTGACCCCATCAAAGCACATGGCCTCTAGCCGCCCGTTTCCCAGCATCTTTATCACCTGGGCGTATTCTAGCACAAGACATTGGGAGATTTTATAGACCATTTCACAAGATGTAAACAACACTGGTCCAGAAGCACTTCCTGTTTCAGTTTGTAACCGTTTTCTTTATTTCACATGTAAAGAAAACATCTTAAAGATGTTTGTTTAACTTTTTGATTCAGTTTTAAATGTTCTGTTGGTTGTATTTTATCCCAGCTTTTATGTAGTGTTAAAAAACTGAAACAGGAAGTGCTTCTGGACCAGTGTTGTTTACATCTTGTGAAATGGTCTATACAACTGAAGATCATCTTGGCTTTGGTTTCAAAAGTTTGGGGTAAGAAAGACTTTTTTGAAAGAACTGATCCAAAAAAAAAAGTATACAAAGCAGTAATATTGTGAAATATTACTAAAATCATTTATTTTCATATATTTTAAAACGTTATTTTCAGCAGCCATTAGACAGTCACATGGTCCACCAGAAATCATTCAAGAAACTTTGCTTATTATTATCAATGTTGAAAACTGAGAATATTATTTTTTTAGGATTCGATGGATGGATAGGGTTTAAAACAGGGGTGCCCAACCCTGCTTGACTGTCCAACACAGTTTATCTACAACCCTAATCAAACACACCTGAAGCAACCAATTAAGGTCTTCAGGTTCACTTGAAAATTAAAGGCAGGTGTGTTTGATTAGGGTTGGAGATGAACTGTGCAGGACAGTCAATGACAGGAGCAGGGTTTGGCACCCCTGGTTTAAAAGAACAGCATTCATTTAAAATAGACATTTATATGGAAATAAAATCGACAATTAAAAAAGACATTTATAATCTATAATTAAATTTTTTTCGTACAGATTCTGTCAAATTGAATTCCAGGACGTAAGGACAATTCAAGCACTACTTTTTTAGTTTTCAAGGGCTACAATCAAACAATATAATTAGATTTTTTTTTTTTTTAGATTACTTTTTTTTTACTCAAATTACAGACAAAATTTAATAATGTATATTTAATACATATATTTTAAGATAGTTCCATAAATCATGTTTTATATTTGAATGTTGTCTACTTGATATTGAGAAACAGTCTGTATGTTGATAATGGGGATTTATCATTGTTAAGCCAGTAGGTGGCAGCAAGGGACTGACTTTAAAAGTGAGTTGTTAGTACCTTCGTTAAAAACAAAAACGCTGATTCATTCTAGAAAGAGACAAGGTTGTAAACAAG